CAGAACTGGAGATTGCAGGCCTTTGCATTTGCCAGGGAAGAGCTTATTCCACTGAGCCATCTCCCCGGCCCCAGGTGTCAGTTCTTTATGGAAACTTTTGTCTGCTTTTTTCTTTGATCTGCATACCCTCCACCTGCCCTGAACCCCAAGCCTTGCCTAGTAGATGTTCAACAAATACTTGTTGAATGGTCAGAATTGATGCTGCATGCCCATTGGGAGACTGAGGCAGAGGATCATAGTTTGAGCCCAGGTTGGGCAATTTAGCAACACATAAGACTCTGTCAGAATAATAATAATAATAATAATAATTTAAAAGGCTGAGCTGGGCATGGTGGGGCACACCTATAATCCCAGTACTCAGGAGGCTGAGGCAGGAGGATCACTGGAAGTTTGAGGCCAGCCTGGGCTACAAAGTGCAGCCTGAATTGCATAGTGAGATCCTGTCTCAAAAAGGCAAAAAAAAAAAAAAAAAAAAAAAAAAAGACAGCACAGCTGAGGAAGCACATTGAGATGGCCTTACCAATGGTGGCGATGATGCTGGTGCTTCGAGCAGCCACTGGCTCTGAGTCAATGTCCAGCAGGCAGAGATGTTCCAGGAAGGTGTCAGCCATGGCAGCTGGTAGCTGCTGCTGCTGGAAGAAGGCGGTGCCCAGCTCCTGGGTTAGCTGGGCCACACTGGCTCGCCGCAGGTACCCCGCTGGCCCTGTGGTGGAAGAGACTCAGGGGCTGCATCTCAGCTCTCACAGGCACTTCCACGTGTGCGGAGCCCTCTCTTTGCGCTGGGCATCATGCACACATGACCTTATACATGGACATCATGTACACATGGCCAAGGAACTTAGAGCAAGTACTGTAAATGCTCTCTAATATCCTGATTTTACAATTAGGAAAAAGAGCACAGTGAAATACATCACCCGACATCATTAGTTTCTAAGTAACCAAGATAGGATTCAAGTCTAGATCTGACAAGTTCTAGGCCAAAGTTCCAGTCAGCTATACCTGACTTCTGGCCCAGGTCCCCTACCACATTCATAGTAGCACTTCGTCATCCATGTCAGAATTACCCACTTCTCTCTTCCAAGGTTCCTGTCTACATCCTGGCAATGGCCTCCCCCACCTCCCAGTTTCCACAGGCCACTAGTACCACCCCAGGCCCAGGGCTTTGGCTTGGTCCAGGGAGGCCCTGTGTCCAGCTGCACCTTCCATGTCTCTGCACTCCAAGTCCGTCTCCGTGGGTCTGCTTCACACTGTGTCCAAAGCCTGAGGTCCAGTGGCTGGGGCTGAGCTGGGTTGTGCAGTGACACTAGTTAAAGTGTCACTAGTGTCTTTTCAGCATGTATGCCAAGGGCCAGAGTCCAGGCAGCATGGGAATGCCCCGTGGCTCCCATGCTACAGGCTTCCTGCAGGCCCAGAAGGCCCAGCCCAGGGACTGTACTTTGACAGACATAGATCCACCCCAGTCCTCTGCCCTACTTCTGACTCCAGTTATTTCTCCTATGTCCCCTTTCTTACCTCCTGGGGCTCCAATGAGGATGGACTTGGCTAAGTCTCTCTGAGACTGAGAGATCCATGAGCAGAGCTGCTGGGGTATAGCGTTTGGAACTGACATGCTTCTAAAACGTGGGCGCTGGGAGGAGCAAATGACGGAACTGCTGGTCTTATCTACAGGAGCCAGAGAATGGAGAAGGGGCACACCCAATGGGCAGCCCCTGGCCCCCTAGAGCCCCTCCCCAAGACCTCTGCTGTCTGTGCCTGCTTCTGCCATTCCCCTATCTCATCCATTTTTCTTCACCAATTTTCAATCCATGGACACTGCCTAGTCATCAACCTGAATAGAGATTTTTTTAAATTATCTTTTTCTGGGGCCGGGGAGATGGCTCAGTGGAATAAGTGCTTGCCTGGCAAACACAAGGACCTGAGTTCAATCCCCAGTTCTGAAAA